TTCCAAGGGCAGACCTCCCTAGCACCAAGGCCACACTGAAAATATCATTTTGATGAGTAGATAGGGTAGTCAGGTGAAAAAGAGGACAGGGTACATTCACCTTCAATAGAAGAGAGAATTTCAGCAGGTGTAGCAGGAGAAACCACGCCTGCTGAAAGTCCCCTCCTTCTACACAACTATTAAAGATGCAGGAGTCCAGCCAGATAGGCATTTTATCCACAGGGCTACAAATAAGCTGCATCTTATTTCCAAAAGCCACATGTGACACAGCTTCCTTTGCTTTTCAAGCTTTTGTTACATATAATGGACACTGTTTGCATCTTGTTTCCACAAATACTGCAAGTGTCATGCATGAGCTAAGTTTGGTGAACATGACACGCTTATTCTCTGATACTGCTTATGTAAATGCTTTTTCCCACCTATCAAATGGGAAGCTTGACTCAACCTCTGAAAAATATTGTTGTAGACTTTAAAGAAAAGCATAACCCTGTGTATATATAGTTAGGCTACTTTAATCCTCAAGGGAATGAATGCAAGCTTGTGTGCTGAGATTTAAGTAGTCTAACTTTTGGGATAACTTTCCCAGTTATCCCCAAAAGATGTCAGGTTTTTCAACCTGGGCTAAATGCATATCTGCAATACAAAGGGGATTGTATTCCATTCAGATACGGCATCATTAAGCACTGCCACCAATATTATTTACTATATGTATGCATAACTGGATGCCCCTCGTTAACATGATTATTGTTACTGCTACTACAGTACATGCCTGATCATCAGGTTTGGGGACCAACGTTCAAAATATGCATCCCAGAAAGTCATGTTAAGGAAAATCTGTAGGAGCGAAGAAGAAGGTAACACAATAGCAACTTCCAAGAAACCACTCTGTCTAATGGTACGCTTTTATCCTGGGGGATGGCTCCCAATTTGTCTAGTGAGAAGGAATCATTTCATTAAATAGGTGAACTGGGGCAGCTGTAGCCCAGGGGCAGGCAATGTGATGCCACCCTGATGATACTGAGCTACAACTCCCATCTGCCCTGACCATTGGCCATGCTGGCTGGTGCTGATGGGAGCTGTAGTCCAAAAAAAATCTGGAAGGCACCATACTGGCTACCTCAGGTGCCCAGGAAGCTGCTAAAACAACAGGCCCTACCTCTAAACCAGGAGCTGGCAACCCTAGGAGTCATTTACACTCTATAATAATCAACTAAACATCATGCTTTGGAGTTCATAAACATGCATATCTTGAATACGTTCATCCAGTAACTAGCACTCATTGAGATCTATGGATGTATGAATTACCACTCATGAGAATTATGCTATGTTGCAGCTTTCTCATATTGCTGAGGTTAAGCCTCCACAGACTGTCAGACAAAATCACCCATCCTGCTGCCACATTTTGCTTCTCAGAAGCCTTACCAAAAGAGACTGTTTTTTGTTAAGTCCCACTCACAAAAGGCAACTGTTGGCACTTGAATCTTCAAGATGATAAAGGGCATTGAAAAACCAATGACCACCACCCAGCAGCCTTTCTCTAATGAGACTTCCCTGTCTCTGCTATGGAAAGGATGCATACAAAACACAATGGGGAAAGCACCTGTGTGTGAGCGTGTGCGCGCGCGCGTGCATGGAGCATTTTCCTATCTCAGACAAGAAATGGAAGCTCCCACACACACACAGGGAGCTGGGTCATAGCCAAGATTAACATTGCATTTCCAGGACACTCGAGCCAAATCATGCAAATGAGAAAATTAGAGGCTTAAAAAATATGCATGGTGTGCAATTCACAACACACTTAAAAACACAAGGCTGTAATCTCATGCACACTTACTGTGAGCATTCATAAGATCAGGGTTTGCCCATAATATTGAATTAAATACAATGCATAAGCATGCTTAAATGTTTCCTGGTATTTCATTGCAAGGCTGCTACAATGAACAGCGAATGTATGGCATTAACTGGTTTATACATGTGGACCTAGTGAAGTGGCTAATGAGCAGGGGGACTCGAGTTCCAATCACATCCCATTCAAACTCACCTGGTGATCTTAAGCAAGTCACTCTCGTAGCCTCCCCCCACTCACCTCAGAAATAGGAGTCCAAAAATAATACTAATTACTGACCTATTTTATAGGACACTTCTGATAATTAATGAGATGATAACAGGTAAACCACTCAAGGTATTCAAAAGTGCTATATGAACATTAAATGTTATTATTAAGTTGTGCTGTGGATTTCAACAAGGTAAAGTTTTCAGATTGATGATCTTCTATGCAATAAATTGATAGTCTTGGATAGGGTAGCCAAATGAAAAATAGGACAGGGACCTTGCACCTTTAATACCTGTTTAGAAATGGGAAGTCCAGCAGGTGTGCCTTGCATTACAAACTAAGCTACATCTGCTGAAATTCCCTCTTCTAAACAACTATTAAAGGTGAAAGAGCCTCATCTCCTTTTTCATTTGGCTACCCTAGTCTTACGGTAAAGGTCGAGTTGTGATCAACTCTGGGGTTGCGGCGCTCATCTCGCTTTATTGGCCGAGAGAGCCGGCGTACAGCTTCTGGGTCATGTGGCCAGCATGACTAAGCTGCTTCTGGCGAACCAGAGCAATGCACGGAAACGCCGTTTACCTTCCCGCCGGAGCAGTCGGTACCTATTTATCTACTTGCACTTTGACATGCTTTCGAACTGCTAGGTTGGCAGGAGCTGGGACTGAGCAATGGGAGCTCACCCCAATGCGGGGATTCGAACCACTGACCTTCTGATCGGCAAGTCCTAGGCTCTGTGGTTTAACCCACAGTGCCACCCACGTCCCACTCCCTAGTCTTAGGTATGAGTAAATACAAAACAAGAAATAAGACAGTTCTGGGATGACAGAAGATCAGATGCCAGTTCAGCTAAAGCTAGTCATAGATAGGACCGCACACTTACATAAGAATAAATACCACTAAACACAGGAGCCTTACTCCTGAGTAAACATGTTTAGGTTCATGGTGTACACACCATTGAAAGAAATGGAGCAGGCAGTGCAATCCTCTGTGTGCTTACTTGGTAGTAAGTCCCATAATGTTCAGTGGAATTTACTCCCAAGTAAGTGTGCACTGCCTTAAGACAGATGTATCACCACCTTGTCTCATAGGTTTCAATGACAGTTAAAGTCAACTCTCTCTATATACAGTGGTACCTCGGGTTAAGTACTTAATTCGTTCCGGAGGTCCGTTCTTAACCTGAAACTGTTCTTAACCTGAAGCACCACTTTAGCTAATGGGGCCTCCTGCTGCTGCCGCGCCGCCGGAGCACTATTTTTGTTCTCATCCTGAAGCAAAGTTCTTAACCCGAGGTACTATTTCTGAGTTAGCGGGGTCTGTAACCTGAAGCGTATGTAACCTGAAGCGTATGTAACCCGAGGTACCACTGTATTTACCTATGATGTAAATTTGGGCTTACTCCCAAACATGACGAAAAAAATTAGCTGGCACAGGAATGAAGTTGGCAAAACAAGCCAAACACTGCCAACCCTGCAGTTTATTCATTTTTAAGATATCATAATAAACTACTAACCTAAAAATTCTCTCTCCCTCTCCCTTCCTCAAAGCAGCTTAACTCAGAGAAACGTTTTGAGAGGATCACTTCCCTTTCTTCAGAAATCAGACAGCACCACACAACCAAAGTGAAGCACTTTTAGCTGTGTTTCCACCAAACATTCAAAGCACACCCACCCAAAGAATCCTGGGAACTGCAGTTTCCCCCTCACTATTCCCAGCACCCTTTAACTAAAGTTCCCAGGATCCTTTTGGGAGGAGTGCTTTAAAGGTATAGTGAGTATGCACCCTTAAAATCTCTTATTGAAATCAGTGGGGCTTAACCACAGTGACATTGTGCCCATTATATGTGTAGGTTAAACCATTCCAAACCACATTCACTACTACAGCTCATCCCATCCAAAAGCCCAAAGACAATATACATCATTCAAGGTGCCAGAGTGCAACTCTGAGTTACAGCTCTGGCTCCCACTTTGTGTTGTTTTTTTTTTTTGTCTCTGGAGGCCAGATCCTTCATAAAAGGCATTCTGGCATTGTTCTGAGTTTCCCTGTGATGTGCATTATACTAAGGGACAAGTGGATAAATACTTTTAAACCCTCCCACAAAACCTTCAGAGGGCAGCAACAGCAGCAGCTTCTTTTTGCTTTGGGACTGTCATTTTATCCTTTCCCCTGTCTATTGTAATTACAGATAACGGTAATGGAGGCAGTCAACTTCCTAGATGCTTCATTTTACATGACACAGTTCCTCTTTAGTTTCTCTTTCCCCCCCCCCCTAACTGTTAACCCAAGTGAATCCAGGCAGAAACAGGAGAACAGCCACAATTTAAAAGGTAGATAGATACACACACTAAAAATACTAAGTTGAGCATTTTAATGGAGCCCAGTATCCTTTCGCCCCATCCCCCACTGAGTTCAAATTTTAAAAGTACCCCCAAAAAATATGCAGTGGCCAGCACAAAGCATTCAGTTCTGGGGTTTAAATTATTGCTGTTATTGTCATCGCTTCCTTTATCTCCCCAGATCATGGAACTGCAACTGTTGTTTTTTTTCCCAAAATGCTACCTGGAACTCTATACGGGGTCTCTACCTTTGTTTCTTCATGTCACACACATAAATACTTATCTGGCAAAGTATCTCTCTTTCTCTCTCTCTCTCTCTCTATATATATATATGTCTGCAGCCCGCAAAAGAGCATCTTGTAACTCTGCCAAATTCAAACATCCCCTGCTGAGAGCTGCTGGCTAACAAAGTGAAAGCAAAATACCAACAAAAGTGACACCCTGGAAGGACCCCTGCATTGGAACAAAGGCATTAACCAGGCGATTAATAACGCGGGATGGGAAGGGTGGGGAAGGGGAAGAGGGACTCGGAGGCACAATAACGCAGGCAGAAACCCGGAAGAGCCCGGCGTTGCACATCCCACACTTCTCTCTCTCTCTCTTTTTTTTTTTACCTGGGACATCTGAGGTCTGAGGTTGATCTCCTTGAGATTGATGGCGTGAGGGCGCAGGTTGTTGAGCAGCTGGCAAAGCAAGACTCCATCGCGGAGGGTCTGGGCCAGGTCGAACACCTGCGCCGTGTCCCAGGTCACCCGGTGGTTGACCGGCAGCACCCGGCACTGGATGAGCCAGTGGGCGCATTGTTTCCAAGGCTCCATGCCCGCTTGCCGCCGCCTCAGCCCCTGGAAGAGACAAGAGACCGCTTTCGCCCGACGCCGAGAAGTCCAAAGGCAGCCGAAGCCGCGCGCCCTCCTCGCCTCTCCGCCTCTCCTGCTGCCGCAGCGCCTCTCCTGCTCTGCCCCTCGCCTCGCACGCACTGAGAGGAGCGGCGCACGGAAAGGCAGCCGGGGAGGCTGGTGCGCGTGCGGGTCCCCCTCGCGGCGCAGCCACACTAGAGTCCGGCGGCGCCTGAGGGAGAAAAGAGGAAAAAGGCAGCGCGCGTGCGCCCACCCAACCCGCGCGCTTTCAGGTTGCGACGCCGGCTGCCCTCTGAGGGGACCGGGCGCGCTCTACCTCACGCGCCAGGCGCAGCGTGGGTTGTGAGGTGCAGAAAGCCAACGGCGGAGGGAAAGCGGGAAGGAGGGAGGGGAGAGAATGCCGGGTCTCGCGCCGGTACTTGCACTGGCTGACAGGACGTTTCCAGCAGCGTTTCAAAGGGCGGGTTATGACCTTTAAAGCCCCCAAACAAAGAAAGGGGAAGCTGTGCGGCTCCCCTGACGCTATTGGACTACAATTCCCATCATCCTTGGCCATTAGCCGTGCTGGCTAGGGCTGATGGGAGTCGGAGCTCACCATCAGCTGAAGTAGCGTTTTCCAAACTTGGGTCGCTTTTTTTTTTTAAGACTACAATTCCCATCATCCCTGACCACCAGTCTTGTTAGCCGGGGATGATGGGAGTTGTAGTCCCCAAAAAATGGCGACCCAAGTTTTGGAAACACAGGCCACTGGTTCGCCACCTCTGCACTAAACTGCAATCTAAGGTCACCAACCCGGCACCCTGCAGATATTATGGACCACAACATCCTTCACCCACAGCCAGCACGGCCAATGGGGAAGAATAATGTGAGGTGTTTTCAGAAACATATGCAGAGTTACCTGGTCGGCAAGCGCTGCCTATACCCTTATCAGTCTGACCTAACTTTGGAGGGGGTGCTCACCTGTAAAAACCATTAGGCTGCTGGACAAACTGAACAGGGCCTTTTCAGTGCTAGTCCCCAATGATGCCATTTGATTCCAAGCGCTAATTTTAATCTGATCTTAAAGACCCATTTTTTTTATCATGGAGGCTACCCAAGGCTATTGGATATTGTTCTTCAGCTTTAAATGGGTTGTGTTGTTAGTTTAGTGGCTTGTATATTTCTAGGGTGGAATTGGATTTTTGAATTGTTTTAACTGGTTTTACAATTGGATTTTATAGATAAACTTGTGCATGGTTGTAAACTGCTTTGAAAGGCAACTGTGCTTAAAAAGCTGCCTAGAAGCTAATGACCAAAGGGCTGGTGGTTCACACATGTACATCAAATTTCTTTTCATATAATTACTGTACACTTCCACACTTTTCACAAGAATGATCATGGAGTTTGTTTATACTATTTACAAGCTATCCTATAATATACATTCTTTGGCAGCTTACAAAGAAAATTGAGTTAGAATAATTACAATAAACTGCATATAAATATCAATATCCAGTAGGCAACCTTAAATTGAACGTGTGAGCACCCAAGATCTGAGTGACTGAAATAAGTATATAGCATTTTATTTTGCAGGGGATTTGAAGCCATGTTTTGATTTGCCTGCTGAGACACAAAATAGGGGAAAGTAAATAACATGTTCCTGACATAAAATTGATACTTGCTTTTATGGGCAACAATCTTTAAACAGTCAAGACAAAAATAATTGTTTGTTTACAAGCAGTAGGAAGCTTCTGTGGTTATCTAATAATTCCCGCAGTTTATTTATTTTATTACATTTTTATCCATGGAGCTCAAAGAATGCCTAGGAGTAACTCCCATTGAACTAAATGGAGCTTACTGCTGAGTAGACATTCAGAAAATTCCACTGTAAAGTTACAACGTGCCCCACTGAATGTATGGTTCTCTCACCCCACCCATCTTATCCTATTAGGTAGGTTAAGCTGAGAGAAATAGACTAGCCCAAGGCGACAAAATCAACATCATGAATGTATCAGGGTTCATAGTTCAAAATCTCATCTGTTCTGTTCCTGCCTTTTTTCTGGCAGAAGTCCTGCATGCCAGATTTTTCAAAAGGGCATGTTTTTGCAGTATGAAGATTAAGTAAAGGAAAGCCTTCACTACTGAATTTCTACTAAAACAAAACAGAACTAGGGCACTGTTAGGAAAAGATAGTACCTTACCTAATTATTGTATTTGCAACGTTTATACATAGCTTAAGGGTTCAGATTTTAAGGTATAATTAGAGTCCCATCCTATGCATACTTATTCAGAAATAAGTCTAGCTATGCTCAGTGAGACTTTAACACTAACTGTACTTGGGGTAGCATACCTGCAGTACAAGCCTAGGCATGTCAAATCAGGTATGTGGCATCTGGATCCTAAAATATAGTAGCCTGGATTGTAGTCAAAGCTGGTAGATAGATTTACTAGATAAAAGATAACATTGTCCCTATGAAGCTGTGTTTAAAAAAACCTAAACCAATTAGTACCTGCTACATCAGTTTCTTCAACCTACATGAGGCACCAGGGTTTCTGTTTATTTTGTAAGTGGGAACATCCCCAGTCTTCTGATCACATTCCAATAAAGTAGAGGTGTTGATATTTATTCTAACCATGATGATACATATAACTTATAGATGACATGGTTAGCACGCTCCTAAGACTGTTTTAACATGGATATTATTCCTTTAACAGTCTTGCTTTGCTGTTACATGTTTTTGTTGCTGCCTGCATTTTTAATTTTATTTCAAAATAACATTCCGTGGGGTGGAGGTGATACTTAGGGTGGCTTTTATTGAGGTGATGCAGACCTTTGGCGGACAAGTGTGGAAGATTCCCACTTTTTTATTGAGGAAAAACTCTGTCCCTTTGGCAAATGGATATTCAAGCAGTGCAGCTTTCACCATCAAGACACAGGGCCTTTTCCAGGAGAAATGTGGCAATCCTCATCCTGGTCATATCACACACACACACACACACACACACACACACACACACTTTCAATTAACTTTGAAAGAATAGCTCTCTGTAACACTAAGTAATAGCTGTCATCACCAGCTTCAAGTTCTTGATGCTTTCCCGATTTCTTATGTCTATTTTGGTTGATTATTATTTAGTTTTATGTGGGAAGATCTCATTTTTTCTCCCATGGAAATTTGAGGAAAGAGTCCTTTATGAAGGGGAGCCAAACTGTAAATGCACACAGTGTTTTACATAAATATTAGACCCTTTGTGTGGATATCATGGACTGGCTGGATGCAGAGGAGTGGTGGGAGGCATCAGCTGGGGAATCCCCAAGGGAACACCCCAAGTGGTGGGATGATGATGGGTGGTCAGAGGGAGAGGAGGGAGCAGACTGGGAGAAGGAGGTGTGGGAAGCTGAAGAGGTAACAGGGTTTAGTGAGCAGGAAGAGTCTGCGGCAGAGAGCAGTCCCGAATCAGAGGCAGGCTAGAGAGAGGAGGGGGACCAAGAAGCAGAGATGAGACAGGCTGCTGAAGAAGCGCGGGAGGGTCTCTCCCTCCTGCTCCAACCAGCTCTCCTCACCCCTGGTCTTCCAGAACCAGAAGAAGTATGAAGAGGGCGGAGCAAATACAGACAAGGCCATGAAGTATCAGATTGCTTGGGAAGGACCCAGGAGAGAAGGAGACTTAGAGAACAATGGGGAGGTGGGACCTTCAGTCCTCACAGCTGCCTCATTGGGACAAGATCTTCCGGGGCTCACTAGGTCTTGTTTCTTTGAATAAAGAGTTAACTTCACTGACAACATGTGAGTTAATGCTGACCTGCTCCTGACACCCACTCCTGACACAGCTAATTCAGGAAGGCTGTGGTTCAGTGGTAAAGCATCTGTTTTGCATGCAGCTTGCTATGTTCATTCTATGCTTCTACCAGTAGTGGCTGGTGCCTGTGGAGCAGAAGGCAGGGACCTCAACAGTAGGAGGAGCCAGAGCCAATGGCAGGCAGAGCCAACTAATTCTAGTTTTGCCCCCATCTTCCTCCTTTCTGAGCTCTACAAGAGACTAAGGTGAAGAAAGCTGATCGTAGCTGACCTCTGTTTTGGCTCTGGACCATCAGTGGCAGGCAACCTCAGTCTTAAATCCCCCCAAATGCAATAGGTGATGTCAACTCATGTCAGGCATTAGGTTTTGTGGCTCTATGCTGGTGACTGCTGATGGCACAGAGCCATTTCGAAGTATCAGTATCCTGCTGCTGACAGTAGATGATTCAGCAAACAGTGCAACCAAGGAGTGCCTTTTTCTTGTACACGTCAGGTAGCAGCATGTCTTGGGATAGCGCTGAGAGAGGGAGAGGCTCTAAATATGCCTTCCCTCCAGGAACAGCATAAATTGCCAGGCCGTATGGGGCAGTATCTTTGTGACATCACCTATTTGCATGCCTAGCTACAAACGTAATTTGCAATAAGGAAAGGTGCAAAGACTTCCATCCCCATATGGATTATGGAAGAACTGATGTGATCGTGTAGAATGAGAGCAACAACCGGCACAACTAACTCATGTGCATGCCTGCCAATTCATCTTTTATCCTGGGTGCAGAGAAGCAGCACTTTAAATTAGTGCCACTTGATCACACTGATAGTGAACTTGGCTTCACTGAGCTCGAAAATGAACAGCACACATGCTGATAGGAGCCTATCGTTGAGTTTCTGGAGTCTATCTGCTAAATGAGGCTTTGGAACTTATATAATGTCAGTTTTATAGGAAAAGGATGGTCTGACAGAAAATACATTTACTATTCCCATTGAGCACTTTCTAATAAAGATAGTTTTATCTGAATCAATTAATCTTATTTGGAGCAAAGGGGGTTGATAGCACATAATTCTTAATATCTAAAGTGAAAGGTGTCAGCTCTCAAGGATGTTTGAATGTCATTTTTTTTAATCTCAAAGCCCTTCTCTTTAACCATATGCATGGGAGACAATTGCAAGGGGGCTGGATTTAGGGGCAGGAAACTGGATTGCTGTACTTGGAAGGCACTCCTATGTTTATCTCCTTAACATCTGGAACAAAGAATACAAAGAAGTTACACTCACTTGTAAAGCTAGTATAATTGACCTGCAGTGCCAGTATTGCAATATCTTTTCAAATTTAAATTTAATTGTCTTACATGACAAGGATAAATCATGCATGCAAAAATAGCACATCAAATTTTGCAAAACTGCCTTCAAATATAATTTTTAAAATGAGGCATACAAAACAAATAGAGGGTGTGCCAAAAATGCTCCTTGGATAGGGTGCCACTTGGTTGGATTGTGTTTGTGTGGATTCTTTTATTTATTTTGATGCCTGTTCTTCCTTCATTGACAGCATGCATTGTTTT